CGATCCATGAAATGACACATTTTTATTGGCAATAATGCCCTTTATTTCAACCAATTTCAGCCCTATTTGGCAGGCTTATTTTATGCTAAAGCATACATTCTGAAAGCGTGGCCTGTAATAATCGAATTTTAAATTCTAGACCGTAGATGGATCTACTACCATTGGTGATCTTCTTAACATATCAACTTCCGCTTCCACCTCCTCACCGTCATCATCATCGCCACCACCACCATCCAGCCACCATTCTGCAACTAATAGCGCCACAACACCAGCAACAAATCCTCTTTTTGAAGACTTCTTTACTTCCTCGGCTTCGCCTTCTACACCAACGGCAAGGTCTGCCACCGCCGACTGGCAAGATCCTTGGGGTGAGACGGCGGTGAACCTCAACCCCTTCGATCCCTTCGGTACGGCTACTGAGCCTCCTGAAGAGCAGACTCCTTCCAGCTCCCCGCCACCTCATCCCGCAACCCCCAAGAGCCCCTCAGATTTCGATCCTTTCAAAATGCGGTCTCAGGCTAAAGTACACACCAGCAGTAGCACCTCAAATCTCTTTACTTCTGTGCCGTCTAAGAACGCGGGTGTTTCAGCTGAAGCTTCAGCTGCTGGAGTGGGGGCCTCCCCCTCTGTACACATCTCTTCTTCGTCGTCCAACCTCACACGCGGTAGCAATCCCTTCCAGGAGTTTGATGAGATCTTTGACACCGCAGCAGCAAAGGCGAGTTCCAATTCACACAGTCCAGTACATCAGAGTGGGCAACATCCTTCCTCGTCAGTACCGACGGGCACAAATAAGACTGGTATAGTTCAATTCCTTTTTCTCGGCGATTTGTGTTGATGCGTTTCTTTGCGCTAAACAAGATTGTTGTGAATTGCATACGAATCACCTTTGAAAGGCTTGCACCACTTAGGTGTATCAACTGTTCATTTCTATAGACACCCTTCGTTTTGTGTATTTTCTTTGTCAAAAGTTTGTTAGTCCTAATGCGTTCATGTACTGAAAGTACCTTCCATCACCTCATTTACTGCCTGGATTGATATTGCTGCAGTTACTACCTATCATGTCTATTGATGCTGCCGTAGTTCCGCTTATTTTATCTGATGGTTCAGCTTTTAACGATTTGATACTTACCCTTAATCAGGTCAAGCTTTCGGTTTTGCCTTCTCCTCAACCTCAGCTCACCAACCGTTGTTCACGCCCCAACAACCTACACCACCTCTGCAACAACAACAACAGCAACAGCAGCAGCGGCACCAACCGTCACCGAGGCACAATCCGCCACCAAGCACCACCTCGCCCAGTTATCATGGTGCTCGGCCGCGGGTCACGGAGGAGACATTTGAAGACCTATTAGGGGGCTTCAGCTCTTCTTCTGGCCAAGCTTTTGGAAGCAGCAGACGCACCCAACACCCAAAGACATTGGCCGAAATTCGGCATCAGAAACTAGCACAGACGGAAGACCACGAAGCTTTGAAAGTACGTTTTTGAGGCTCGCGCTGCACGGTTAAGCCAATGCAAGCACCAAGGTGCATAGTTGAGCTTTCCGATCCATAGTGTCATTACTTGCGGAAGACGGATTTAGTGTTTTGTTTGATTCCAGGTGCTTGAGTGGTTGGAAGGCAAGGAGAAAAATGTGCGTGCTTTGCTCTGTACTTTGAATTCGGTGCTATGGGAAGGCGTTCGGTGGGAACAAATCTCTATGGCAGACGTGATGACTGTGAAACAAGTGAAACAACAGTACCGCAAGGCCGCTCGTGCTGTCCATCCTGACAAGGTGAGTTGGCTTTA